TCAACTGTAACTAGATTAAGTATACCTAATTCCACGATATCTTTAACGTAGATACTCACCACGCGCGGATTTATTTCCTTGTGGTTGTCAGCGTTTATTTATCACTAATATTAAGTATGTATATTTTTCTATTTGTACCCTTCAGAAAGTGAAAATAAACATCATTATTATTATTATTATAATCTCAAACAGTTCCGATTTGCGGGTATGTTTTCTAACTAAAACTGAATAGAAATATAGTTGCTTGAGATCAAACAAGTTTGATTCGTGAAATAGTTGTTCTGTTGGGTAGGTTTGACATTTTTTCATTATTATTTTTATAATATATTTTTGTACAGTTTGTAGGCTGTGCATATGGGTGTCTGTTGTTCCCCCCCATGCTATTATTCCATATGACAAGTGACTTTCTACAAGTGAATAGTACAAAATTTTTAGCTGGTTAGTATCGAGTATTCCTACCAGATATTTGAACTTTGGTAATAAACTCCTGATTTTGTTAGTGACATACTGTGTTTGTTTATTCCATTTCAAGTGGCTGTCAATATATATACCCAAATATTTGATATTTTCAGCTGATTGGATGTAGGTTGGTATATTATTTATTCTCACAGTAAGTATATTATGATCTGGTAAATGGTTTTTATAGGAAGCGAATGGGACATAATGAGTTTTCTCAAAGTTAACAGTGAGTAGTTTGGATGCAAACCATTCGGCGATTTTCGTAAAATCTCTCTCAGCTTTACTTTTCAACATAGTCCAACTTTGCTCCTGGTACAGAACAACTGTGTCATCAGCAAAACCCATTATGTCACCTTCTGTATCCAAACTGAAGAGATTATTGATGTAGATATTGAAAAATATGGGACCCAATACCGTTCCTTGGGGGACTCCATATTCTACTACTTCGTAATCGCTGTATACATCTCCGATTTTTACACACTGATTACGATTTGTGAGATAGTTTTCCAATAGTCTCAGTGGAGTACCGCGAATGCCAACCTGCTCGAACGTTTGGAGAAGTTGAATATGGCTGACAGTATCAAAGGCTTTGGCCAGGTCGACAAAGACACAAAGAGTCGGTTTTTTATCGTTCAATGCATTATATAGTTTTGTTGTTAATTCACCGATTGCGTCTTGTGTCGACCGGGCTTGTCTGAAACCATATTGCCTATTTGAAATAATGTTGAACCTGTCTAAAAAGTTAACTAATCTTTGTTTTAATACTTTCTCGAAAATTTTTGCAATGTTTGAAATTAGGGATATTGGTCGATAATTAGCCATATCCAACTTACTTCCTTTTTTATATAGGGGTTTTATGACAGCTGTTTTCAGTTCATTTGGAAATTTTCCTGTTTCAAACGACTTATTTATGAGATGAGTAATTGGTTTCGCGATTTCATTAACAATAAGTTTCAAGGTTTCGGACTTGATTCCATCTAGTCCTGGCGATTTATTGTTTTTCAGTGAGTGTATTATTGTAATTATCTCTTCTTCTGTGGTACCTCGCAGAAAAAAAGAGTTAGGAATGCGTTGTTCTTTGAATTTTCTGTTGTTGTTTTGTTGGATTTTACTTGCGAGGTTTTTTCCGATATTTGTGAAAAATTTAATGAACTCTTGTGAGATTTGCTTCGTATTGGTTAATGTATCTTCATTCTCATTTTTTATTTTCTCAATGATTCCTCCTTTTTTTGTTTTTGAGCTACATATTTCTTTAACGCACATCCAAAGGCCTTTGGAATTATTTTTTGCTCCAGTTATTTTGCGTTGAAAATATGTCCTTTTTGTTTCTTTGATGATTGCAGTTAGTCTGTTGCGATATATTCTAAAATTATTCTCATTATTTGCGGTTGGTTGATTCTTCATAATTTTGAACAGTCGATTTTTTTCTATAGTAGAATTAATAAGTCCTTTGGTGATCCAAGGCTTTCGCATTTTTTCATTGTTTTTTAGTTTAACCATATTAGTAGATTTGTCGATGTAAGTTTTTAGTTTTTTAACAAAGCTGGTATAACTCGCGTTAATTTCGTTACAACTATACATGTCTTGCCAGTCTTCGTGACTTGATAATATATTCCGAATTATTCTTAAACTAAAATTGGAAAAGGTGTAGGCAGTCTCTTATATTCCATAGAACGGCTAGACTCTGGAATTCATCGCCTGAGGAAGTATTTCCAATAACATGATTATAATCTCCAGAAGTTAAAAACAAATTTCCTATCATCCCTAGGAACGCACGATGTTCTTTGAACATTATAGTGATTTCCTTTCGTGCAAATCCGATTCTGCAACTTACTATGTTTGCAGAGACATCCACAAATGACAAATTTTTTATTGCGTCTCAACATTGATCATACTGGACTCAAACCTCTTCTTCCACGCCAAATATGATATACAGATGTAATTCAAATTGTTCAACGTAGGCTATATTCACTTTATTTCAATTTGACATGAAACCCTGTCTTATTATCAATATAATTGATCATTATTTTCTCACTTAGCCTTTTAGTTTCAGATGGAAAGCTCGCAAAAGCTTAGACTTAGCCAAAGCCTTTGACACGGTTAATCACGACATATTGATAACAAAATCAAATAATAATGGCATTCGAGGAATTGCATTGAACCTGATAACCAACTTCTCATCAGAGAGAATTCAACGAGTCAAAATTCAAGAAGAAGTAAGTTCTGGTAGTGTAGTGAAGACTGACATACCACAGGGAACCGTATTGGGACCAATACTGTTCCTCATATACATTAACAGTATAACCAAAATAAATAATGTGAATGCTCACATAATATGCTACGCAGACGACACGGCACTTATTTGTACAGGAACAACATGGCATGAAGTAAAACAAAGTGTAGAATCTGACTTGCAGAAGGTTTACACCTGGCTAAATAATAACACTAAACGTAAATTAAACAAAATGCATAACTTTCTCTCCTACAGTTCATGACCAACCAACAAATTTACAAGTCAAATTTCATGACCCAAACTGCAAAACCAAAAATATATGCGACTGTCAATGTGTAGAACAAACCAAACCAATAAAATACCTAGGAGTTTTTCTTGACCAACATTTAAAATGGATAAAACACATCGGTTACGTTTCAAAAAGGCTGCGTGTTTTGATGAGTACCTACTTTTTATAACTTACGTGACATCAAAGATAGATTGCTTCCTACGCTACAGTTATATCAAGAAACTAAAATGTTTAACATCCATGCAATATACATTCACCAATGCCTCATCAGAATGTTTCATGAACAAACAAATTTGACCTCGCAGCATTCAAGAGATACCCGGTCAACGAAAAACCTGAATAAAAAAATTGACTTCTTCAGTAAAACTAGCACTCAAAACTCATTCCTTTTCTATGGCCATAAAATATTCAATACTCTGCCTATGCACCTATAAAGTATTCGAAATTTAAAAAAGTTTAAAAAAGATGTAAAAAAATATTTAGAAAGTAACTCAAATAAATTCCTACCAATTTTCTGATCGTTAAAACTTCTAAATACTGTCTGTATTTAAAAATATTCAAAACAAATAAATAAAAAAAAAATGTCTTTTCCTTATTTTTCAAAATTATTGTGATGAATGTTTTACAAGGACCCGACTCAGTCATAAATATTACTTACTAAAGACGTACACATATGTATCATCCAATTTCCCTCGACATTACCCAAATAACCATAATTACCCTAATAACCCTATTTCTTTCATTTTCAAACATTTTCTACTTTACTGCTATATCGCCTCAAATAAGGATATACATTTCATTCAGATGGCCTTACTGGTATAGAAGTCACAAAACAGGCTTGCAAGCCTAGGTGATTCTATTCTATTGAGACATCTCATTTTACACATGAAAATTAATGTATTTTTCTACATTCATGCAAAAAGCAGAACTTTATTGAACTATATTTAGTGGAAAAAGAAGTTCTTTATTGCACTTAGTGCAATAAAGTTTTTATTGCACTCATCTGTCATTCTACTTCAACGTGCTGTCATCATGACAAACATTTTTTATATTGCAACTGTGGTTATAGGAATGTCAGTCAAAAATTAATTCTGACAATTAACAGAATTGTACCTAGTGCCGCACCTCAATAAATCATTTTTTGCTTTTTGCATAAACGTAGAAAAAATGTTGTATGCAACTCGTGCAAAAATTGTTTATTGAACTTTTTGCACTTGTTGCATAAATAACTATTTTTCTACATTCATGCAAAAAGCAGAACTTTATTGAACTATATTTAGTGGAAAAAGAAGTTCTTTATTGCACTTAGTGCAATAAAGTTTTTATTGCACTCATCTGTCATTCTACTTCAACGTGCTGTCATCATGACAAACATTTTTTATATTGCAACTGTGGTTATAGAAACGTCAGTCAAAAATTAATTCTGACAATTAACAGAATTGTACCTAGTGCCGCACCTCAATAAATCATTTTTTGCTGTTTGCATGAACGTAGAAAAAATGTTGTATGCAACTCGTGCAATAAACATTCACTTTTTGCACTTGTTGCATAAATAACTATTTTCATTCCATATATTTACCATTGATAAATAAAATGAATTGAATTGAATTGAATATTCACTAATAATCATAATGGGTGATTCGAATTCAAAATTCATGGGTCACCAAACTTGAATATCAATGTGGATGATATTTTACGATTATGACATTCCTCATGATGATATTTCCACCGATTCTTTTATTTCAAAAATTGATCAAAGAGCATGGATTCTCAATCAGGTGCCAAAAGACAGAAACAGAAAACGTCTAGCAATCACCGCTATTCGTACTCTTTCACGAGATCTCATTGATATAGGTATGATCCAAATGAGAGAACGAGAAATTGACCAAAAATTCCTAATACGATCCTGAATGTTCATAAGTAGTGAAATGATTCCTAACAAGTCAATTATATAAATTGTAAGTAAATAACTGCGTTCAAAACTCTGTTTTGAGCTGAATTATTATCATACAATTAGTACTCATTTCCATATCATCAAAACAAGGCATACCTATTAAAATCACATGTCTTACTAAACAAACAGTATCTGAAAAATCATGTATTCCAAAACAGATTACTTTGAAAATATGAACAACCAATCAGAGATGGCTCTGAAGAAGCACACAAAAACTAAGGAAGACTTGAGGGAGTATATTGAGATTATCAGAAAATGGATCGAGTCACAACCACATCTACCAGAAATTCCAAGTGAGTCATATTCTGGTTATAAGATCTCCATCAATGAGAATGATAGAATCGATGCATCAACCACTTTCAAGCAAACATATCGATGAGACTGCATGAACAACACGAAAACTATAGAATTAATATATACCACGCAAAACATTGAATTACATCCTCCCAAAATCTATGCATGGACTCGTAAAAAAGGATACTGATAATAGTGATTCTTTCCTGAATGCCTATTGATTTCGATTTAGCCAAGTCACGCTAGACATCTACAGACTGGTTTCGACCTCTTTGATTCCTATCAGTGCAGGGCAGTCTACAGCAACCACAACCAGTCCTAAGACCGCTGACTGAGCGTAGCCTAGCCAACCAAAAATCAAGTCGGCATTATATTCCCCCAGAGGCGTCCTTTATGAACAATACGGGAGTGGCTGGTTGCCCGACTGGCGTATTTTCAACTACGAGATAGCAGCAATGCTCAAAGTGGAATGAAATGTTGAATAATTCAATGTTCTGCGTTGCATTAGCCAGGAAAGTAGTTGTTTTTCTTCCAAAATCTATCATTGTTGTTCATTTTATGAACATTGTGTGGAGATGACTTTGAGCGCCTTGTATTCATCTAATATTTCATTCCACCTCGAGCATTGTGGCTATTTCGTAGTTGGAATTACGCCAGTCGGGCAACCAGTTACTCCCGTATGGGAGTTTCAGTTTTGAATTGTTTCTTTCAATCTTTTCTACTCAGATGGCGTTTATATCGTCTATGAACGACACCTCTGGAGGAATATAATGCCGGCTGGATTTTTACCCCACAACAACGACGTACCGTAACTGAGATGAGAATGAAAAAAAGCGGAGTAACATGATCTCATATATAGTCTCTAAGGATAGTTTTCGGGATAGTTCTTGAATATGACATGATCAATTCAGTTTATCATCGATGACCATCACCTTCAACAATGTTATTGTTCGTTGAGAAGAGGATATTTCCTGTTTTATCATAATAATAGACTTATTAGTAAATTGGTGATCGCCGTCGATCTCAAACGGTCAGACACTCCAATTCCATATCGTTCTTCGTACTGAAATGGTTGCATTCGGTTCACATTCATTTGTTTGAAGAGTTTTTCCAATTTCCAGGGATGAAAAATCTTATCAGAGCCAGTTTCTCCTGGCTCTTCATTAGATTTCAAGATGTCCACAAGTGTCCCGATTCTGACATCCAACTGACGAATTGCATCAATACAATAAGATTGATTTCTATATGATTGGTACTATTTGAGCTTTATATTGGTTGATGGGTATTATTCATAGATACCCTTACAGGGACATGTTTCGAAGCTTCGAACCATGTCCCTGTAAGATTGCTTACAATAAAGTATAGCTTTGGTGGAGTCGACTGTAGAAACTTTATCCTGTCCTATTCAATCAACATGGAATGTTTTTCGATTTATCCAAAATATTGAGATATCTTAATATTTTGGATCCGTTATCAAATCACGAAATCGAGTGCAAATTATAGAACAGGAAAGTGTCATTTTGCAATTCTTCTGCTCAGGAAAGAGATAGGCTCAGGTGCCGTTCGATCAATGTTTTCACATGACTTCGGAACAATATTTAACATTTCGTTATCAGATGACGGTAGATATTTGCAGTCGGTTCTCCTACTATAAACAGGCTCATTTCTCAATTATTGTTTTGAACTTTGTCAATGAGGAGTTTTCATTCTGATGCTCTTGTATGTATCAACTATTTTGTCACTGTAACCAATGCAATTATAACATCAGGTTGTTTTTAATGTTCATATCATGTAACGATTGATTTGTTGTTAATTGATGTCGGATGTATATAAATAATTTCTCAATCATTATGGAATTTTCCAAAACCAGGAACTGATCAACAAGAAAACAACTTACTTTCTATTAGTCCTCAAATGTGATACGCCAATTCAATATCTGCTAGGTACTGATTCATCAATATATTGATGATTTTTATGCAAGCTTCCATTCAGAAACAGGAAACAGTAATACAATACCTCGTTCCCATGGATGATAAAGTGGTCTTCATGTGTTTAGTTATAGAGTAGCTATTTCCACACATTGACTCGTCTAACAATATCCAGGAAGAGGACTGATAGACTATCTGGGAGTTTGAGAGGACTCAGTTATTATACAGGGTGTTTCTAAAATTGGAGCGGTACTCGAAACGGGGTACGATATTTCAACACATACACAAATACAAATAAAATCTCAATGTAAATATTGTACAGGGTTATCCATCGAGAAGGCCCACCCCCATATTTTCCTTATACTTTCACTTAGAAAAAAAAATAATATGCGGAAATTTAATGCCGCTATGAGACCTTTCTAAGGCATTCATCAGAGGTTATACAGGGTGATTCCTAAGAGCGTGGCAAACCACAAATCAATTTTTTTAAATGGAACACCCTGTTTTTATATTTTTTTCCAGATCTGTGATCTTTTGCGATCACAAATATATAAATATATAGTATGTTATCTCTTACTGTTTCTCGTTAATTACAATTTTTGTGGTCCAGAACCAAATTTTGTGTGTGATGGCATCAAAATAAATCAAGCTTTGAAACCGAAACTATTTGACATGCCCATGAATGGATTGGGAGGTTTGGAACTATTTCATGGCCAGCAAACAGTCCAGATCTGACGCCACTAGATACTTGGCTACTTGAAAAATAAAATTCATAGTGAACCAACTGAGAATATTAACGAACTTAGATATAAGATAATCGAAGAAATTGATTGTTTGAATAGGGAGCGCTCGGGAATAATAGCAAAATCAATAATCAATCTGGAAAAAAGGTATATGCTTTGCTGTGACCATCATGGGCAGCATTTTGAGCAATTTTTGTAGTTAGGTGTATGAGTTCTGTAATTTAAATTTTGTCTGTAGATTGAATTTGTTACAATCAATATAATATTCATGATCGTTATGATTAAATAATTGTTAGAAAAGTTTTTGATTATTTTCAATAAGTGGTCACGATGTTTCTGCTTGTATTTGATAATGTATACATGTAACGGCGAAGCTTTGGAATTCTTTGCCAATGGAAGAATTCCCAAGAACTTAGGTATAACCTCCAGAAGTTCAAAAAAAATTTCAACACCTACCACATCTCCCTATCCTCCCTAGGTATGCCCGATTTTCGATGTTCTTCGAACATTATAGGAATTTACTTCCGTGCGCTCCAATAGATGAAAAAAAAATAACGGGAGTCGAGTACATTCTCAATCATGGATAACTCTATAGTTGCACGATTAAGATGCCATCCCACACAAAATGTTGTTCTGGGACCAGAAAAATTGTAATTAACGAAAAACATTAAGAGATAACATACTGTATATTTATATATTTGTGATCGCAAAAGATCACAGATCTCGAAAAAAATATAAAAAACAGGGTGTTCCATTTAAAAAAATTGATTTGTGGTTTGCCACGCTCTTAGGAATCACCCTGTATAACCTCTAATGAATGCCTTAAAAAGGTCTCATTGCAGCATTAAATTTCCGCATATCATTTTTTTTTCTAAGTGGAAGTATAAGGAAAATATGGGGGTGGGCCTTCTCGATGGATAACCCTGTACCTAACTTCCGAAAATGGAGGTTTATCGATCCTGTCCACAGGTAACTAATCCTTCAGGTTGAGAAAGTAGGATATATAAAAGTTAAGCAAGCCAACGTTGGTATAGTTCATTGTACCAGTATATATCACCTGACGAAGCTACTGTGTCAGCGAAACATGTTGTGTTTTTAAGAATTCTGTGGAAATCTCATCGTTTATGAAATTTTTACATTTGCCATGGATTTCCATCAAGTAACGGCCGAGTCAATTCGAAAAATAAGATATTTCCATAGAATGTTAGGTTCAACACGGTTCCATAACGACAATCACTCAAAAATGATATGAAAATAAAAAAGTCGCATCAAATTCACACTATTTCATCTCATGAGTTAAAAGAAGACAGTGGAAGTTGGAGAATGATTGAAGACTGAATTAGAAAGTTTCTTTTCGGCGTGTGTGTAATGTAACTGAAAGGGACGTTCAAGTCAGGCAAACTCTCAGCCGGATATCAAGCTACCCGTATGTGCCTAAGATAACAATATATCTGACGCATCAGCTTCATAAATGAAATGGTCTTCATTTTTGTTCTGTTCCTCGAAATGACGGTGGAAATTGATTGGTTCTTATGGGATGAAAAAGATAATTATTCATAGTTTCATCATATCCTCCTCCCTCTGAGGCTCTGATGCAAGAGATTCAACAGCATAACAACCATTTTTTCAGCAACCGACTCAAAAGTCGTCCATTTTGATACCGAAATTAGCTCTTAAATTGACGTTTCTATTACTGACACAAAAATAGGTATGTTGCTAGGCAACATATTTAATTCCTAGGAGCTAAAGTTGAATTTTAGTTCCTAGGAGCTGAAGTTGAACTTCAGCTCCTAGGAACTATAAAGAATGTACTGGACGTCATCGAGAATGAACGACATTGTGACGGTTAGTTATTTGGGTTGAGACGCATACCTGATTTGTTTCCGATTTCAGCAGATTTGGCATTTCATACCCTTGCTGGAGATATAAATACACCTCATTATAATAGTTTGGTATTGGAATTATAAACATCTTAGTTAAGTATTTTTGTTTCGATCAGGGAAGCCTTCAAGATTCAAATACTTGCTTGATCTGTATTTCATTCGTTATTCTCGGATGGATAACTTGTTTTTGAATAATCACGGCCAGCAATCGGTTTTTCGTCGCAATAAACAACGATGTTGTTTAGCTTCATTTGATTATCAAGTCGAACACAGTGTAGTATGGAGCGGAATAAATAATCATTATTATCATTGTTGATATGTTCACTAACCTAACATTTTCCACGTCTTGTTCCTATAGCTGGCACTGGCGCGGTATTTGCCATTAGAGCACCTGGTCCATACACAAATATGTCACTCTAAGGTTGTATTTATTTTGAAACAACAATTCTAACATCCTAGAAAATCTAAACTGCTGTTAATGCAGGTAGAATATTCTCACTACATGGATTATTTGTCAATATTTGTTGCATTGCATACATATGGCACGGCATTGGTGGTTACTTCACATGTTCATTTGATTTAATTGTTTCGGTTGCAGAAAAAATGGCATGTTTCATTCGGATCAAAAGTGACTTTGTTCGACTCGCAAATTTTGCTTTCGCTTGGCTTCGCTAAACGCTTCGCCTTGCAAATGCAAAATTCGCTTGTCAAACAAAGTGTCACTTTTGATCCTGATAAAACAATCTACTATTCTGTTTTGTTCGAAATAGAGTAAGGTATAGGTGATTTGAGCTGTCAGAGTTTTGGTTCTTGTTTGGTTTTTGAGAAGATTAACAATTTGCTATTAGTCATTGTCAATTGAAAAGTTTGTCACAAGAGTGTCAACCTCTTCCTTATAAAGTTGCGACGCCACTGTATGGGGTGATATATTTTGATAATTAGCTATCACAGTTGATATTGGTCTCACAGAAACGTTCAGAAGGGTAAAAATTTAGAATTCACCATGCGCATTCAGAATTCGGTACTATAGAGAATTCGAATCATTGTAATCTTGAAAACATTACCTGAAACTTGTATCTCTTGAATGGAAGACCCCTGTATTTCATCATCATAATCAATAGATTTTTTCTTATTCAAAATACGTCAGTTTAAAACGCCTTGTTTCGATTAACTGCACGTGTTAGAAAAAGTATATTTATTTATTTGGAATCAGATGAAAGAGCTCAATCGATTAGGCATATGAAATATATAATATTATATATCGTATATTATGTTCTATTTGAAAAAAAGTTTATGTTGAATTTTTAGGTTTGCGGTCTTTTTCTACATTTTCTAGTACTGAATTCAGAATGCGAAAGAAACTACTAATGTTTTGCATATCTGAACGTTTCTGGGCGACCTATGATAACTGAGAAATCTATTGAGTAAAATTTGAACATCAATTGTGAATTGTGACGATAGAATATGAACAGATTCTATCGTCACAATCAATTTCTTGAATTCCAGATTTTCCATCATGACTGTCTACTTTTATCGTTTTTTTTATTCATCAAACCCGATTTTGCTCTGCCCCTTAAGCCTGAGATACCGAAGATATTTTTTTCATAGTTGGATGATTGCCTCGCGTAGTTAAAAATATTCATCATCACAATCACACATCATCACTTTATCTCAATTCATCATTTGTTTCAGATGATAGTCTCATTGGGAATTTCCTGTTCATGAATAAATTCAGCATTGAAGGTACTAAACAACGCCTGGACATGTACTACACCAAGCAGTCCTTGATACCAGAATTTTTCCAAGATAATAATCCAGATCTTCCATTGATAAGAAGTTCTTTTGAAACATTGTGAGTTGATAGTATAATATCAGATAGTTTCTTGATGAATGAAGATGAATATCAAAATATTATGAAAAGATGCAATATCAGTTGTTATTTTAGTGAAATGAGGACAAATCATCAAACATAGTGAAGGAATCGTCCCAGATAGCACGGGACGTCCCGAAGACGTCCATTTTAGGTCCATTTTTGGTCTGAACGTCCAGGACCTTTTATGGACGTTTTTAAGACGTCCATTATTGGACATACTCCGGACGTCCAGAAAAAGACGTCTTTAAAACGTCCAATTTACAGACTCTCGCGGTATATCAGTTTAAATTGATATAAGTAGGTAGGTATATATAAGTTTTGAAATTAGAATTATTGAATTGAATATGGACATGAATAATGTCAAAAAATATATTATATATCAGCTGTATCAATATATTGAATCTCATTTTATTATTAATATTATGAATTTGAAATATTTATGATTTTAACTGATTTGTACCAACTTATATAGTTATGTTGAATCATATTCCTTCAATCACATAATACCTATACAGTTTGACCATTCTTAAACCCACACTGAAGTATTCATACAAGCCGCGCTTTTATAATAAGATTTGATTGAATCACTGAATATATAAAGCAACCGTTAAACGCATGCGTGCTCAGCGTTGCCAGACTTACTGTTTAGCAGTAGATCTACTGTTTTTGTCTCCGTTCTACTGTTCAACTATTCAAGGCAATGGTCTGATTGGTCAAGTTTTGATATGACGTAACTACCCAATATGCAACAATGAAAAATTAATGGGACATCACAGTAAGAAGATGTATGATAAAAATATACTGCAACTATCATATTCAGTCTGATTAGTGAAAATTAGCTTTTATTTCCAATCTGGTTGCGGTTTTCACAAATTTTATTTTTTATTTCAAAATCAATAATCAATATTGTCTGAATGTCCTCAATACGTCCATTTTTCATCCCAAAAAGGTCCTAGTCTGGACCTAAACTGGACGTCCCCAAAACATCCTGATTATTAACAATGGACGTCCTCAAAACGTCCATAAGACGTCCGTCGTCCGGAAATGGACGTCCCCAAAACGTCCTGAATGTCCAGAGTGGACGTTTTTAAAACGTCCATAAGACGTATTTGTGCTGATTGGGGTATATCATACACCAAGTGGAATAGTATGATATATTTTTCCACCACTCGAACTGCAATATCAACATCCCAGGTAACACGGATCTCTCCGCAATATCTCTAAGTAGTTATCTTCAGGATCAAAATGCGAGATCCTCCTGCGAGGTGTCAAAGATCACCATAGGCTCTCACCATGGGAAATACTCTCTGGAGTCGTCCGAAAGAAATCGCGGAGATCTCGCCTCAGATTTGATATATTCCTCATTATTGCGAATCCTTGAGGTTATCTATAACAGGAAATGAATAGGCATTTATTTCTGCGAGCACCCAAGGATATCCTGGACGTAACAAGATCGAGAATTTCCCATTGCGAGCTCCTAAAGTATTCACAAACATAACCTGAATAATTAATGAATATTCCTACAAAAATATTGAGTTGTTTTTTTCAATAGCCTTTATAATTCAAATACTGGGTGTCCCAAATTATCATATTATTTACAGGCAATATCTAATATCTCGCCTATTTGTCAAGATATCAAGAGCATTGAAAAACTGCATTAAATGGCATTAAATAACCTTCCTAATGGCTTATGAAGAGTGTGATATATTTGGCAGCCCCCGGATGGTAGATACTGATCAGTTTTCATTTTCTAGTAGCATATTAGTCTCTGAAAATTGCGTGTCAATCTATTTGGAATACAACGATATAGCACATACTTGGTGTTTTGTTCTTGATAACAACAAAAACATGAACATTTTGTGACTTTTTTACGTTACTCAAATGACAAATTGCTTTCACCCATGTGTTCAAGAAGTTCACAAATAAGAAGTATGGATTGCATTTTCGTTTCAAAATATTGATGACAGATATTCCATTTTGAACTGCAGAACATCAATCATTGCAGACGGTACCTACCTAGCTAGTGTAATAATTAATCTAATTTCATTTTGTGGGACATTTTTACGAACATGGGAGGAGGCAATTTTCAATCGATGTAACGTAAATGAGGTCAACAAATTTTATTGTTAATGTTGTTATTAATGAACAAAATACAAAGTACCGATGTGATATCGTTCATTCCCGAAATAGGATGATTGGCATTAAATGAAAATTGAGGAGTTGCTACCAGGTGGCTGTCCAATCTAATACACTTTTTTGTGAGTCATAAAGAAAGTTCTCTGATGTCATTTGAAGCATTTTCACTATTTTTCGTTCATCTTGTCGAGTAAGCAAGTTTTTGCCGGTACCTTTACGATAACTTGGGACACCCAGTATTAACATGAAATGGGAGTCATTAATCTATGATAATAATAATTGTATATACTAGATACTAGATTTTCTTACTGTCTCAGAGAATGTGTTCAACAGGTCATATTATTATCTCTCCCCCATTATGGAAGATTATTTAAAATTTTGCAGTGAATTAATGATAATTAATTATCTGCTCTGACGAAAAAGACAAAAATGTTCCAATTCAGGTGGGATCGAGAATCAAATATCTACCTCAAATTCGTGGGTAGATATCGGACGACCTTTTTTTTTAAGAATACCCGGCCAACTCCTCGGAGATTTTTTCAAGTGATAAAGTTTACTTGATCAATGTCTTGCTATAGAATAATATATTAAAGCTCATTACGTTGATCTAACTCTAAGTTTGGTAACTCAATCTTTTTCGCTGAAAGAAATATCCAGTAAATTTAACTCCACCCCAAACAATATAGCTGGCGCTAGTTAGACTTCGCCAACAGGAGACTGCTGATAACCATTGACTTCTCAAGAATTGAACACCTTACCATAAAAGTGGCGATCATGTGGCGATTGATGCAAATATCGCTCTTAAAGGCCTCGTTATAAGGTGATGTGCACGTATCCTTGAACAATTCATGGTTGCGAGCACTTGAAGAGTTCGCTATTAGTAATTGATGCGAATTTCCCAAAGTTCTCTTCACGAGGCGATGCGTGCGAAAATCTCAAACAGCTCGTAGTCGCGAGCACTTAAAGACCTCGCCAGAAGCAATTGATGCGAATCTCCCAATGTCCTCGTCACAAAGCAATGTATGCGAATTTCTCAAACAGCTCATGATTGCGAGAACTTTCAGTTATCGCCAGTGGCGATGGAAGCGTATATCTCAAAGTGCGCGCCTGAGGGCATTGTATGAGAATTTCTGCGTGCGATATCTTCAAGACCTCGCTGAGATCAGCCTAGGTGGCGGACATTTGGCCTAGATATAGCACTCTCGGCGATCTCTCAAAGAAGTTACAAAAGGCATCACAATTTCCTAAAAGGATTTCTTCAAGATATCTTTAGGACCTCTTTGTGCTGGCTGGGATACTACTACAATGTCCATTGAAGGAGCAGAGATAGGGACATGTGAGCCGTTTAGACCGATGATGAATAGTTTCGACTCATAAAAATCCTGAAGTTGAAAAATCCTGGTATTGAAAACCCTATATCTCTCTTGATAGACCCCAACTGATATATCGATGAAATAAGCTATTCAGGAAAAATCCGAAAATGCAATGAAATACAGGGTGTTCTACTTGAAATGTCAATATTGCTACTACCCTCTAGTAGAAGCGGTGACCCTGTATTGTCGGAAATTTTTCAAATGGAGAGAGCGTATTTCAAAATATGAGCATACACATCTTTATGAATTTTTCCCGACTGATTCTCGACATGAAGATATTGTGAGCTCGTCATGACATACCCTGTACAGGTGAAAAGTTTTATTTTTATGGTCAGTTTGAAAAATATCTCAGACACCCAAAATGATTCACTGGGTTGATCTTCGTAAAATATTATATTTGAGAATAGTCACTTGAATCTTCGAAAGCGTCAATTGTACTTCAGGATTAGTCAATTCAATTTCAGAAAAAGTCAATTGCCTTCCAGAATGGTCAATTGAATTTCTGGAAGCGTCATGTGTATTCCAAATTTGAAAATTCCGCTGACTATTCTGAAATAAAATTGACAATTTCTGGAAATTATTCAACTATTCTAATATACAATTATAATAGTTTCTGAAATACAAGTGACTATCCTGAAATACAATTGACACTTATCATTGACACTTTTGACAGTACGTCATTTTTCATAAACTTTGGTGATGTGTCCTTATCATAATTTATTCAGGTTGAGAAAGTGTTACTTCTTATTGAAATGATGATGATTTCTAAGTTTGTTGGTAAAGATACCAACTTTTCATTGACCATGCTCAACTTGATTATACTCGATGAACTTGAGTTCGGGTATATACTCACCACAAGAGTCTCGAGATCATACCCGTGTGTTCACCGAACACGCTCGATCGTTACCTAAGCGGTGGGGAGACCGAGACGTAAGCAGGCAGTCATGATACATTGAGTGGGCAGGCAGCCTCTCTCATGCTGTCTTTGTTTTTGTAGTACGGGGTGGGCCACCAACAGTTTTCTTGATCACATTTCAACATTTTTTTTTCGAATAAATAAGAAACATTTGATAGGCATCAAGTGATCTACTGCGACCTATCAGATAATGAAAGCGATGATTTGATTTGCAATAATTCGCTATGTCCGAGGCTATGTCACGACGAGTCCTACATATAAATAGCGAACCACTCATCGAAAATCATGAAACTATATGTACATATATTATATGCTTATGTTTTTTTGGCGAGGACGCTCGTTTTTATTCAAATTATTTTCGATAATGTTCATCTGCTTCACTAGAAATTATTATTAGTAGTTATGTAGTACTTAGTAGTATAGTAGTAGCAGTTTTGTTATTCAAAATGGAACACCTTATATTTTATTACATTTTTCGATTCTTCTAATTGAGCTATGATTTCGTTGATCAAGCTCAAGGTATACCTATACGTAGAATGTGAAAAATCGAGATT